AAGACGAGAAGCTAGATTGGATTTTGTTATGTTTGGAAGAGTGATCGAGTTATGAACAACTACGCAATATTAAATATTTACTACAAATTAATACTTTTTCTAATTGTCATACATTAGTATGTATTTTGTTTATGAAACAATTGGTCATTATGTTATTTGAGATTATGTTTACAATATTTTATTCATTAAAGATTTGAAATGAAATTCTAGTACTTGCCAAACAACATCAGAATTTGAAATCTAGAATTGAAATTATGAATTTCTCAAACAGCATCTGGATTTGAAATTATGAATTTTGAATTTCTTGTGTTTGCCAAACACCAAAATGGAATTTGAATTATGGAATTTCAAATTATAGAATTGAAATTCAAAAATTGAAATGAATTCCACTATCCAAACACTACCTAGGATAATTAGCAAATTACCATTTTGAATGCCTTAGTTTCTCCTCTCTCTGTCACAGGAATACGGGAACAGTTTCATGCACATCATTTTGAGAAGACTTCTGCAAACAATGAGGGCATGGTCAAATATTCAATTATAGATCAACTATAGATATCATTACAAACACATTTCCGAGTCTTTGCATCTGTAACAAAATAGGGGGATATATAACCACGGGCAAGTTTCTCCCTTCCGCCACTTTCAATTCGTTACCCATAATATTTCCATCCTGCTCAAGTTGTAAAGCTTTAACATCATGTGCTTACCATTATATATAAGACTAAAGGAATCGTATAGATTGTGCATGAACGTTACTCACAGCAACAGTAATGACACCATCCTTGCTTACTTTCTCCATCGCCTGTGCTATTTATTCTCCAATTTCCCTCTCACTGTTTGCAAATAGAGTTGCTATCTATTCTGATACATACCAACTATACTATGGAGTACATATATACACCTTTTGGGTACGGGAAAACTTGCTACTCGTTGGGCTCTTAAACCTACAACAATCATATCGCAACACCAAATTAAATTTCAAAGAATTTATTATTGAGACAAATTGGCGAACACTTGGAGGGCAGGGCATACCTTCTTGTCAACAAAGATTGAAGAATCTGCACCTATACAGCCATACGCACACTTGGCCAGTCGGCCGTCAAACCTATGCTAGCAATTGTCTGCCCATTTTGTTCTTAATAATAAACAAATCTTACTGAGTGGAAAAAAATTTACAAATTTGAGGAATACAGAAAGAAATAGTTTATAAATCTATGTACCACCGTTCTCCGCCATCCGCCGCTGCCGCAAGTCTCTTCCGCTCCCGGCTCCACCCCCAGCCGATCGCTCTCTCCCGGCGTCTCCGTCAGGAACTGCTGCCAGAACACATCGTTCCCTCCATTATTACCCACCACAGACACCGAAGAGCCGCCGTCAATTTCCACTCCGTTATCATCACCTGCATCGGGGCCTCCCTTCTCCTCCTCCTCTCCGGCCGTTTCAAAATCTATGAAACACAGAAAACAAAAATGCACCTAAGGACCTTAGGTGCATATCATGTTAGCTTTAACAAAAAAAATTCTGGTAGCACTACCCTAGTCCCGTGATGTGCCCCCCGCTAGCGAGCTTCTGGCTCCGCCACTGCCTAAGGTAATCAATTTCCCAAACGGAATCTTTGTTCATGGGCGCCAGTAGGTTCTCCACCGATGCTCTCATCAGTTCCTCGTCCTTCGCCTGCTTCTCGTTAACTTATATTCTAGATGAGAGCAACAGCTTAGCGTTCCTTTTGACTGGAAAGAGATATAATGATTAGAAGGTGAGGATAAAGATGAGAGTGAAATTGAAGTTCTTTAAGCCGTGAAATAGTGGGAAGTTAAAGCATTTAGGCCATCTCGAATGGGATGCCCAAAAGAGATGCTAGGAGGAGGAGATAGAGTGAGATGTTGATGGATGCTACTATTGTAGATAAATGACCAATAAAGATGCTCAAAAAAAACGAAAGGAAGATGCTTGGTCTAGCACCCGATGCTCGAGGAAGGAAGAATTGGGGCATTTGTTTTTTAAGTATTGTGGTCCAATATGTATGTGCCACGTGTCATAATTATTATTTTTTCAATTTGAAAGTTTGCATTTAGGATCTGTTTGGTACACGGAATTGATGGAATGGAATTGAATTAGAATTAAAATTTCATGGGATTCAATTCCATAGAACTAAATTCATCAATTCCAATTCATTTTTTGCTCTACCAATTTCAAATCCACATAATTTTTGTGCTACCAAACACAAGAATTGGAATTGAAGTTCTCAATTCCAATTTCATAGTTTGAATTTCGTGTACCAAACGGGGCCTTATACGAAAGTGTTTTTTATTAAATTAGATATGGCACCTTCAAAAAATTAGATATGACAATGTTCTAGAATTCAAACTCTTTTTTAACAGAATGACTATTTTTTTATTTATTTCGAAAATTTTCTTAAGTATTTATTTTTCTATTTGTTTTGAAACAATATTAACTACATCATATATTAATTACATAAAAAACATTTTAAAATATTTTACAACATAAATCTAAAAAATTTAATTTTGTATTAATATCTAATATAAGTTTTATTTAATTAAAGACCAAAATTTATTAATTTAAATGTAAAAAGTCAAAATTAGATATATATTCTAGGACAAATGTAATATTAATAATAACGAGTAAATAATTAATCTTAATTAAAAAATTATCATATAACAAATACTTATAATTAAGAAAATAAAATATAATTATATTTATATGGACCCACTGCATTCATTAAATAAAATGAGGCATCCATATGAGATGCCACTATTGAAAGATTTAGATGTTGAGAGAGGTGCTCAATTGGCATTTTAAAAGTAAAGTTCATACTTCAACATCTAGTGGGGGATGCTACCATTGTGGATGCTCTTAGAGATAGTGCGTAGACGGTTGGGTGTTGGGATCGTGGCTAAACGGTTGGTGCATCACCGGGAATTTTTTCCTGCTGCCATTGTAAATAGAAGGATAGATAGAGATAGAGATAGTATAGAGATGTTGTTAAAGAGTATCCCACATCGGAACTTGGAGAGAATATAAACCGGTATATAAGCCCTTGAGTTGAACTAACTAATCGATTGGATTCAATCTTTTAATGCGGTTCAACCCAAGTGTCTTATTGCAAGAAATTTACAGATATAGGAGTAGAAGGTGCATGTTTTCCCTATATAGGAGTGGTCCTATTTGACCACACGTTTATGAATAGAAAATGACTAGAATAACCTCTAATTTTAGATAACTCCACGCGCCCTGGTAATCGAATTAACTACATAGAAAAAAGGCATGAGTTGCGGCTGCAGTTACCATTTACATCATGACATCATGTTTCCTTCCCCACATAGGGTTCTTAGACATTACTACTCCGTATTTTTTGAAGTCTTTGTGAATGCTTGTTTTGTTTAAGAGTAATGATAGGGGTACACCAAAAGGTGTACCCCAAATGTACATCATCCTCCTTTCCCCCACAAATTTTTAATTGATTTTTATTTACTTATTTTTTTTGAATTTTTTTTTGCCTTTTTTAGTGGACAAGGAGGGGGTGGGGGATATTTGGGGTACACCTTTGGTGTACCCCTCGCATTTTTCTTTGTTTAATGCCTACTTGGATTAATATTTTGACCAATGAAGTCTTTATGAACATCGAATTTTCATTTAAGTAGTTAAGATGGAATATTTTCATTAATGAAAATTTACTTAAATAAGATTAAAATATAATGACTTTCTCAATATAGGATATTATGTTTTTATTTTTTAATATAGAATCATTGGTCATTATCTATTAGTCATTATTCATATAAATGTTCACTACCATCACTGGGCATTATTCCATCAACTAGACATTATTAACTACGGAGTACTATTTAGGAGATAAAAAAGTTTGTATCCTACATTGTAAATGACTTATGTTTTAGTCTTATTTAGTTAAAATTTCATTTTCATTAATGCATCGTTCGATGAAGGTTTTCTTTATTAATTATTTTTGGGCATTTTCCTTTACATTTACCAGTCATTGTTTGGCCTTTAAAGACATTACTGTAGAGATTTAGTTCATCAGTAAATCATTGTTTAATGCTTTTTGTATAGAAAAATATAACCACACACAAATTGGGTCAAATTAGAAAATGAAAATATAAAGGGAGAACATTAAGAAAAGACATATTAGAATTAAGTCTTTGTAATGCAATTGGAAGACATTATGATCTCGAATAATTCTTTCTTTATCAAGCTTTAGTTGGACATTTTTTTAAATATTTTTCAGTCTTTGTTATGCTTTTTAAGTCATTATTACTGAATGCTTCTTGCGTATAAAGATATAATCACACCCAAATTGAGTAAAATTAAAAATGAAAATATAGACAATCTACATTAAGAAAAATTCAAGAATTAAGTGTTTGTGGTGTAATAGGAACAAAATTTGTTGGTCATTAAAGTCTTTGTGAATGAGTATTTTATTTAATGTTTAGTTTGATAAATGTTTTGTAAATTCATCCTTGTTGGGATTAAGCCTTTAGCTTCAAATTTACTAATTAAGTCTTTATGAATTACTCCGTAGTATTTTCATTAATGCTTTGTTGAAGAGTTTTAAGTGATGGACATTTTTTATCAAGGAGTGTTGGACCTGAAGATTTTGACACAAAATACACACCAAAACTCATATAGACACAGACATTTAATGTCTTTGTACACACAAACATTTAATGTTTGTGAAATGTTTGTGTATGTCTCTATTAGTCTTGGTGTGCATTTGGTATCAAATGTTTGAAGTTCCCCTAGCGTTTTTATTTTTTATTGCGTTTTTCAGTCATTATTTGTCTTTTAACATAATTTGCAAATTTTACGTGTTTAATAAGTTATTCTCAAAAAGTTCGTACCAAGAAAAATAAAAATACAAAAAAATTTTGTGATTTCAAAAATGAAAAAATATACAAAGTATATTTTAAAAATGTAAGAATATACTCCGTAGAAAAAGAGGATGGGGTGGAAGAACATGGCAGTGGCGAATTAATTGCATCCTAAAAAAATGAAAATTTAATGTTTGATATTATCTCTAAATATGTAAAGAAAATAGAAATTAAAAATGGAAGGAGAATTTTTGTGTTGGCGCGTGATAACAATAGAAGGGCAAATATGGATAATGATCAAAGTTTAGTCTTAAAAGAAGGAAAAAAAGTAAAGAGTCTTATTTAGGGAAAAGTAGTAGGTTTTAGTCCTAGTAACAACAAATTTTACTTATATTTTTCATAAAAATGATGTAAAAATTACTCCATCCGTCCCAAATTGAATGCCAATTTCTCATTTACGAGGTAAAATCTTACACTTTTTAAAATCAATTTTCTTACAAATTAGTATATGAATAATAATTAAAATAGAAACTGGTATATGAATAGTTTATTTACAAATTGGAATGTTACAGTAGTTCTATTATTTTTTATTATAGTAATTACAGTAGTTCTTTTATTTTTATTGAATTTGTACATTTTTTTCAAGTAGAATTCAAAAAACAAAAAAAATTTCATCTATCATTATTTCATGAACCTTGTGAATCAACTCCAAAACACACACACACTTAAAACACATGGTGGATGATCGAGCTCATCACAAGTCACAACACTAACAATAAATCTTTAACGGAAAGCATGAATTTCAATGCCATTGCAGTATTGCACCATAGAAAAAAGGTGCAAAAGTAGATTGATGAAATGTGACAAATGTTTACAAGATGAACTATACCAATAAGGCATGCACATTTACAAGAATTATACCAATAAGTTATCAATGTTTGATGAAAAAAAGTCAAAATCCAAAATATTTTTAAGAGGGGATGGAGTATATGGTAGTCAAGGAAGATGAGGAGTGCCAAAAGTACTGGGGTAAGCAACACAACGACGATATGTAGAGGACTCCAACTCACGTGGCACTCGAATTTCTTTTGTAGTGAGCTCTTTGAGGTTGGCCACAAGTAAGTAACGTGAAAACCAATCTAGAAGCAATTCATCCTTTCCAAGGCTAGAAACCATGAAACAACCATAAGTTATCATGTGGTATGTGCTCGTACAAAAACCATGCCTTCCAAGACTAAACCTCGCTTTTCGAATCCAATGCCAATGTTCATAATCCTCCAACATCCATATGTCGAATAATCCTCGTGTTAGATCGTGTACATGGCAGAGAGCCAAATGGCCATCGTGGACAAACAAACGCATGAAGTCATTATAACTCAGTTGGTCAAGACAAGGCGAATCGAATTCTGGATGAGGCAAAGTATGGAATTTTTCCGAGTCCATGTCAAATACCAACACCGTGTGCCAGCAGGAGTGATCACTTGTAGTGCTCGCTGTGCCTGTGCAAAAGTAGCTCGTCAAATGGAGAGCATTCTTAAAAGCTACTGGATAGTTGTTTGAGGTCTCGCTAGTGGTGAAACGGCTTCTATAAGCTATTTCCTTGAGGGTGCGAGAAGCTAGGCTGTATGAATAGTACTGGTAACACTTGTCGTGTCTAAGGTAGCGCTTGCAGATACATTTGTATTCATATGTGGGTTTATGAAAATATAGGGAACCTAGAAGCAATACACCATTATTCTTGTCGCCGTCTAATAACTTTGGCACAAATTGTTCCTTGCGTGTGATCAGGTTGACAACAAGATCGCGTTCACAAGTATCACGGTCTAAAAGAAATTTAGTACTCGGCCTCAATGTACTACCCTTGAGATGAAGTAAGGGACCAAACGCACCGTAGAGAAACGGAAGGCGCAACTCACCATAATAGGTGGTGCCAACCTTGAAAGGGATGCGTCTCAACTCGTTGGAAATTTCATCATAAATATAAAAGGGAGACTTCTTTTGATGCCGCCGCGAATTCCAACCTTGCACAAGAACAACACAAGGAGCTCTTTGGGCTTGGAGCGTGACGAAATGAACTGAGCTAGTCAAACTTCTCCAACGCCTACACACCGCGCGACATCGTAGAATAGCGCGGGCTGGAAGCCGGCTCAGAACATCAATTAAGATGTCGTCCGGAAGCGGGACAACTATTTCTTCTTCTTCTCCTTTGTCTTCTTCTTCTTCTTCTTCTTCTTCTTCTTCTTTTTTTCCTTTTAGTTTGATGGACTGTAAAAGATGAGAAATCCCGGGGAGGCACTTCATCACGTACGGCTATGCTACCCTAGGCTGGGCTGCAATTCAATGACCTGAGCGAGGAACCAAAAAAAACGCTTATGAATTCATTTGAGGAACCAAAAAACACACGAATAATAATAATAATAATAATAATAGTAATAATAGTAATAATAATAATAAGGAAAAATTATCTCAAATAATCTCACCTTTTCGCGTTTTTTTAAAAATAATCCCACTTTTCAATGTCACCGGAAATAATCTCACCTTTCCGCATGTGTGTGAGTTTTGGGTCACCGTTAAAAAACTAACGACCACTTAACGGAAGTTTTAGAAAATGCCTATTTTTCGCAAATAAATGAAAGGTGTGATTATTTTAGGCAAATTTACTTTTTACTTTTTTTAAATTTAAAATTAATATTTTTTAAAATATAACAGTACACTCTTGTTAGATTAACGATTAACAAATTTTGTTTTCTATTTTGGGAAAATATAATATTGAATAATCAAAAATAATTCAGAGTATTAATCAAGAAAGAAATTACAATACCAAAAAATTGTAGTGATTTATAATATTTATTAGTGCCATTTTAGAGAAAAAAATATTGTGCCATTTTTAAAACTTTTGAATTACTATTTTGGGGAAACTTTTGTATTGAGTTATAAAAAAATTCACAAATTGGGTGGTTCCATTTTAGAAAAAATAAAATAGGAAATATAAGATTATCAATAAATATTTCGGAGTGTTCATGAAAAAATTGCAATTGATCAGAAAATATAGTGAGTTATAAAAATAAAAGTTTCATTTCAAAGAAAGAATTGTTGTGTTATTTTCACAACTATTGCAATGTTGTTTCACAAAAAAATATTTATTTATAACTATCGAAAAATATTCATAAGTTTTGTAGTGCCATTTTTTTAAGAAATAAAAATTATATAGTATCAAAAAACAATTCGAAGTGCAGCTCAAGAAAAATAAATGCAACTTACAAAAAAATGTAGTTTATGAAGTAAATAAATTAGCTCTATTGTGTAGAATAATTTATTTCCTAATTATTACCAAATTATCGATTATTGAAAAAAGAATTAGTTTCACTCTAAAAACACTTAAATTTGGTATATATCATTTTTCCAAAAAAAATTAAAAATACATTTAACTTTAAAGTTAGGAATTGAAAAACGAAAAAGGGAGAATTTACCTAAAATAATCCCACCTTTCATTTATTTGCGAAAAATAGGCATTTTTAAAAAATCTCGTTAAGTGACCGTTAGTTATTTAACGGCGACCCAAAACTCGCACACATGCGGAAAGGTGGGATTATTTTTGGTGAGAGTGAAAAGTGGGATTATTTTTGAAAGAGCACTAAAAGGTGGGATTATTTTAAATAATTTTTCCTAATAATAATAATAATAATAATAATAAGTTGTATACTGTGTGGTACACTGCTGCTATTTGGATATGTTTCATTATCTTTGATATATAGATTTACTAATTAATTGGACATGCAGTAGCCAATTTATGTGCTCTAAATTGTATTGGTAAACTTCCAATTACCAAATCTTTATCTCCCCAAACAATTATCAATCAAATCCCACACAATCAATCACACGAGATTACGACGGAAGTAAATTTCAAATATACAGGGGCGGCGTTATTAGATGTATAAGTACTCACCCCTGATTGCGTATACGAATTAAACAAAACAAGTGGGCGGGGCAAACAGGCGGCGGCGGCGGAGTTGCAGCGCGGCCAAATCAGAGCGGCGGTCTCCTTCTTGCGTGCGTCCAGCCCTTCTCCTTCTCTCTTTTCTCTTCGATCTTTTTCTCTGCTTTTGTTTTCTTTTTGTTTTGCTGGTGTGCCTACCTAGTACATATATAAAGGGGGTTCCCGTTTCCTTAAGTGGGTAGGTTTAGGTTTCTTTTTATTACCTAGAGACTAGAGTAATTTATTATTCCATCCCTCTGCAAATTAATTTCTTGTTTACTATTTAGAAAATCAAATTTAATTTAATTTGTTGGTTTACTTTCGTTACCCATTTGATAAAATAATATATTCATGTCACTTCCAGTTTTATAGATCTTATTATAAGCTCTCTCCGTCCCTAAATATTTACAACATTTGCTTTTTCAGTACGTAGTGTCGGAAACTTTTGTTTATTTTGACATTTTCATTGATTATTTGATAAAATAAAATATTCTTAACACCTATTATTTCGAAGAATTTTTCATGTACTTTTTTTATATGTAAATTTTATTTTTTATTTCTTTACCAATATGTAAATAAAATGAATTGAAAAAATGTGGCAAATAATTTGGGACGGATGCAGTAGTTTTTTAAATTTGCAATTTTTATTTTTGAATTTTATACGAGTATCATTTTTTATATGAAATGATTTGAAAAAATAATTTCAGTCAAACATCGTAACGCCCAACGTTTTAGCATGTGTATATTTTGTAACATGTGTTGTAATGGGCTCAAGGCCACTAACGTTAGATGTAGCCCGTGTATCTTGTATATATATATGTCCGTTGTGGTTAATTGGTTATTGAAAACGATTTTACAAGTTTTACACCATTCTACACAACGAGAAGCTTATATGTGAACGGAGGGAGTATTTTATATTATAAATTTTTTATATTTATTTATTGAATTGTAACGTCAATTTTATTCACCACGCTTTACTCGTATGTCTAAATTTGACAGACTATACACCGTTGGTCCTCATTTTACGAGACCTACCCAAAATCTAATTTTTATTCAAAATTGACAACTTTACAAATAGTTCATATTTTTTAGTAAATAAATTTAATATTTATTTTTATTAAAATTACAACTAACTACTTAAGGCGGTTTTGTCGTTACCATACTGACATTCCATTAAACAATCGAATTCATTATGGCTTGAACAGAACCAAAAAAGAAAAAAGAAATACGGAGAATGAAAGTACATTGAAAAAGAAGCGGACCTGATGAAACCGAGGGATATATATAGCATGTGAACTGAATTGAACCAAGCAAGGCCGTGTATCAGTACTTTTTATACATACACATTCCTAATATTGCTACGATTAATCTTTGTGTATGTATATGTGTGTGTGCGCGCGCACACACACATATATAGGATAAATCTTTATGTGTGTGTAGATTTAGAAAATATATATATTTCTAGCATATATTCTAACAAAAAATTTCTCGGTTTATAAAATATTTTTCAATGAAATATTTTTGTAGATTAAAAAAAATATATATTTAGCATGATTTTTTATACTATAGTACTCTATTATCAAATATTAGTTCAGTAATCTTTCATTTATGGGTATACTTTTACAAATATTCTTTTTTTTGACATCATGTCATTTTGGTGGTAATATGAAAAATAAAAAAATAATTTGACATCAATCATGTGTGTGTGTGTACACACATATATATCAGATATTATAAATTTGTATTTTGCAAATCGAGCACGTTATACCCGTGTTAACGTTATGTATATATGTTTATATTGTATCGTTGTAAATTGGGCTAATTATGTTGGGTGCGTAACTCCTGTATATATATATACTTTAGTAGCTAACTTAGCCACATGTGCTCTGATATCATAATAGAATTAGAAATCATCTTAAATAGGATTTAAACATAGATATAAGTACCAAAATAGAACATTCATGTTTTTTTTCCGGAATAGGACTTTGCATTGTGGTGATGTAACCTTGCATTGTGGTAATGTGACCGTGTACATGTGCAAATTACTATGCTTTTTTGGTAATGTATATGACCATGGTTCATAATGTAAGTCCTATTTTGAGAATTAAGACATAGAAGTCCTATTTTGGTGTATTTTCAAACTTTTAGTCATATTTAGGTCTTTCTCCCTAATAGAATTTAGAATGAGGTTTGGACATCTAAATTGGATAATAAGACACTTTGGTTAAACTACATTAAAAAATTTAATCCAATTAATTAGTTAGTTCAACTCAAGAGCTTATATATCGATTTATTTCCTCTCCAAGTTTCGATGTGGGATACTCTTTAACAAGTCAGATTTGCCACGGATAGTACTAAAAGTCGTCACTTTTCCCATTATGGAACTAATTATCATTTATTCCTTGAATAGTACCTTTTTCAACTTGACTTCCCCTTTTTAGCCTCCCATTCCCCATGCCTAAATCAAATTAGGCTCGTCTCTCTCAAACTCCAGATTTTTTTCCATTTTCTCGCACAACTCAATTCTTGCCTTTCACTGTCTTCTTCGATCGAACAGGATCAACCACAATTTTTCTTCGTGATTCAAATCCGGCAACTCGATGTATAGATCTGGAGAAGAACCAAAGACATTGATGGATAAACAAATCAACATTGAAAATTGACACAATGTCTTTGTGATGAATCCAAGGACATTAACATACGTATTATACTAGGACATTATTCAACTAGATAGAGGTCATTGTGACATCGGTGATGGGCGACGACAAGGTGGACATTTTAACATCGATGGTAGGCATTGTGACATCAGTGGTAGATGGTCGCAAGATAGACATTGTAACATCGACGGTGGACATTGTGAAATTGACGGTGGTCGGCGACAAAGTGGACATTTTGACATCGGCGGTGGGCGGCAGCTATGATAACATTGACGGTGGACATTGTGACATCGGCGGTGGGCGGCGGCAAACTGGACATTGTAGCATCGGCAATGAACATTGTAACATCGATAGTGAGCGGCGATAATCTTTAGCGCGGCTCTCTCTCTCTCTCTGGCTATAGACCTGGATAGGCCGCTGGATTTTCGAAATTCAATGTCTACTGGATTTTCGAAATTCAATGTCCACTTGCTTTCCAAAAGTGTTCAATGCCCGCTCGAATCTCAGAATTCAGTCGCGGAAGAGTGTTAAACGCCCAGATCAATTCTTAAAATTCAGTCACATAAGAGTTGGGGTTATATTAGTCAATTGGTGTTGCTGACGTAATTAAAAAAAGGTTTATGGTAGTACTAGTCCTATATTGGGAAACTTGCATTGTTTTAGTACCATTTTTGTATTTTTCCCCTTTAACAACCCTCGTGTGGCACGGAAACAAATTTGTATTTTGCAAAATATTTGAGATATCAATGTTTGAATACAAATAAATACGGAGTATAAATGAATGATGCGAATTGAGATTCCCATAAAATTATACTCCGTAGTACGTATTGTGTATTACGGACTACATTCCAAAACATACACTAACACTATGTTTGGTTCAAGGATTTTGGCTGGGAAAAGAAAAGAAAATAGGAGGGAAATGTTTTTTTATGTTTGGTTAGTGAGAAAAAGAAAGGAAAAATGAGAGGAAAAGAAAAGTGGGGAGAAAATGAATTAAAAAAGGGCAAAATCATTTTCCTCCCGATTTTGGACGGAAAACGAGAGAATCCATCGCTCCCCTCTGAAACCTTCACTCCGGTATCTGCCATGTCTTCTCGCTCACCCATCTCTGAAACTAATCGTGCCTCTCATCTCTGAACATCGATCGCAGCCCTAATTGCTGCGATAAATGAATCCCGTCTCTGAACTTTATTTCTCTATCCTTGTGTTCTCATGAATACAGCTGTTAGCTTTATTTCTCTATCCTTGCTGCGATCAATGAATAAATGCTTCTTCTGTCTCTTGTTTGGAAACAAGAGAACTCAAAAATAAAGTGGGGTATTTTCCTCTTCTTTTCTCTTCGAATTGGACAGAATGTGAAGTCCTTTAACAGCAACTAATTCTCTTCGAATTGCAATTAATTAAATTGCAAGTGCTTTTTGTTTGGTTATATATTTTTGTTTATGTTAATTAAATTGCATGATGATGAAGAAACAAAAGATGTGTATTGGAGCAATTGAAGTGGCGCTGGAGTCATAAACATATTAGTCAATAAAAATTTTTGGGTTCAAATTTGGATTTACATTGTTTTCTCACCAAATTTCCTTCTAACCAAACAAAAAGAGCTTGAGAATACATTTTCTTCATCAATTTCCATCTTAACCAAACATAACTAGAATTTTGAGTTTCTTTCCTTTTCTTTTCTTTTCCTTCTCATTTTCCTTTCTTCCTCAATTCCTTGAACCAAACATAGTGTAAAATTAATCATATTATTATATGTATGACTAATTGATTCATAGGACGTACCGTCTGCAATTGGGTCTGATGATGTGTTAATACGAAGAAGATCACTAACTTTGTCAACATGCATAATCACACCCACAAAGGATATCAGATTTGCTTCTCAAATTATTAATTGAGTTTGTTATATAAATAAAAGATGCTCCTATTTATATGCAGTGTTAGATTGCATGCAAAGATTGTTACTCCAAACATTACTCGGGTCACAATTATATTCAGAGATGATTTGTATTACGAGAACCATCGTCTAATTAATTAAGCATTATTTAAGCTATATATTCCGTGGATATAATATTGTAACAACAACTACTACTACTACTACTACAATATTATTATTATTATTATTATTATTATTATTATTATTATTATTATTATTATTATTATTATTTATGAGAAAAAGTGCACCATCTACCACCGAATTCTTTAGAAATTGCACGGTTTACTTTTGAACATTAAAAAGCGCACCGTTTATCCCCGAACTCTTCATAAATTACAAAATTTTATCTTTGAACATTAAAAAGTGCACTAAATAACTCTGAACAATTTAAAAGATTGCATTGTTAGTTCTAAAATGTTAAACAGGGAGTGAGTTGCTCCCACC